ACGGCCAATATCCGGCGCCTGCTGCCGGCTACCATACCCTGGTGTAGAGGCATGCGAGTCACGCAATGACGGCATCCGTTCGGCCGGGGAAGTTGCGCCCGGTCGAGCCTGCCCAACGCCATCGCAAGCGGCCCGGGTGAGGGGCAGGCCTGCACGCTGGCAAAAGCCCGCTGCTCTCCAAGACTCGACCCCTCGGCGCAGAGCAGGCACAGTCAGGGCGCCGGCGAGGGGACGGGGGGGGGCGGGGACAGCGCGGGCCAGAGTGGACATGGCCGTCCCCGGGGTCCGAGACGTCGGGCGGAGCATCGGACGATCCCCGGCTGGGTGAGTTCCCCCCGCGCGGCCGGCCGGCTCTCGGGTGACACCCGAACCAGGGCCACATCCTCGCGCGAAGCGCCCCCCCCCCCCCCTCGGGAAAGGCCGGCTGCTCCATCGGTCCCGGTCTCCACGCGGATCGTCCCCCCCCCGGGGGGCCCCTTTCAGCCAATTCACCGCCTCGCTTTTGACCGGCGCCCCCTTTGCGGTCGCACGCTCGCGGACCCGGCAGCCAGGCCCGCTGCACCGGGGCAAGGCGGGGAGGGGGGCCATCCATGTTGTTGCTCACCTGCCTCCGGCACCCGGGAGGACCGGGGCCTGCCTTCCCTGCCACCCGGCCTGCGCTTCCTGCCTCGGGCCCGGCCCGGGCGACTGCACCGATGCAGGCGGCCCGGCCGGGCGGTGGCTCGGTACGCGCAGCGGTCCCCGGGGCTCGCGATCCCCGCCGCCGCCTGTAGCAGGCACTACCCCCCCCCCCCCCCCCCCCGCCGGCGCCCGCTCGGACAGCCACCACAACAGGCAAACAAACAAAATGCCCCCGAACGGCGTGGCCTTCTCGCCTTACACGCGAGCATCCATGCGTGCATGTCCGCGCGTGGGCGGCCGGGGTGACGCCGGCGTCACCGCTGCCCGTCTGGCCCCGCCCTGGGCCCGGCTGCTCCCACTGGAAGAGCCACGGCGTCCGCACCCCGCCGCAGGGGCAAAGGCGGTGGTGGTCGCCCCCCCGTGCCAGCACTCCGCGGGCTTCGGCCCGGGGCCACGGGGCGGACGCACTCGTACTCTGAGGTCAACAAAAAAAAAAGACACACCCTCGGACCGACACATGCCCGTTCGCTGTTGCCGCTCGCGCTCTGCCCGGGTCGGGATCGCCCGCGGTGGAGCCACACATGTCCCCCCCCCCTCCCCGGGCACGCCCTTCCCCGCAAGGGATACGGCGCGGCGGAGGGGCCGGGACAAGGGCCTCTCTGCCCCGGCGCCCCCCGCCCCGGCCCGCCCCGGCGGCCCGGCCCCGCCGGGGCGCCTGGTGGCCGACCTCAGCCGGCCCCCGCGTTATATGTGCGGCACCCTCCGGTCTTGGGCCCCCTTCCTCGCCGCCGAGGACGTTCGCACACTCAACCACACCCTTGCCGGCCGCGGCGCCGGCCGACCCCGGGACGAAACCCGGGCTACCCCGAGTTTCGCTCCGGCAACGCGGCGCTCTCGCCCCTCATCGTCCTCTGGGCCGCGAGAAAAGCGCCGGCCCATCTCACAAGCCCGGCCGGCCGCCATGGGCCTTCGCCACGCACCGGCCCGGGCGTCGTCGGCCTGGCCCCATGCTCTTCTTGGGACCCCGGCAGCCGGCGTCTCACCGGTCTCCCCCGCCCTCGCGGGTGTTGGTCGGGTGTCTTCGGCGTCCGCGGGCGTCGTCGCGTCCATCGCGCGGCCGGTGTTTTGTCCCGCCGCCTGTCGCCTCCAGCTCGTCGGGCCCGTGCCCCCCGGTGCTCTCGGCGGGTGGCAGAAGCGGGCCGTGTGACAGCGTCCCGCCTCCAGACCCCCAGCCCCCCCCCCCCCCCCCGGGGACGCCGGGAGGGGGCAGGCAGAGGGCGTTGGCCAACCGCAAACCAAGAAAACACCCCCCCCCCCCCCCCCGCGCGCGCGCCGGTGCAATGGGCGCAGAGACAAACCAACATACCCGGCCTCCCGGGAAGCCCCGCATCTGACAATCCACCTGCCGCCGGCACGGTCGCCGGAGCCGGCGTCGGCGCCGGCGCTTCTTACCATCGAAGCTCGCCCCCCCTCCCCCCGCCCCCAGTATGGCCCGAGCAAGCGCCCTCGTACAAGGCCTCGCGCCCGCAAACGGGGCATATGAAATGGGCACGCGTCCCTCCCGGAGGGCGTGTCTTGGCCTGTGGCCGGCAAGGCCTGGCCCCCCCGGCTTGCCCGCTGGGACTCTCGCACGCTTGCCCGCGGCCCCCCCTCCCCCCCCCAGCCCCCCTTTGTGTGGGGGTGCATTTGCGCACATGCACGCACGCGCGCGTGCGTCCCCGGCCTCACTGGCTCAAGTGCCCGCACTCGCGCCAGTGTTAGGCCTGGCTGCTTCCGGCCGGTTCTCACACCCCTGCTGAGGCCCCCTGTGGGGATCCCCGCCCGGGGTCTCGCCACCGCCTGGAGCTGGGCATGCGGGCGCCAGTGTTTTCCTCCGACCACGAATTTCACCCCCGGCGCCCACGTTCGGTATGTCTTGGTGCCCCCGCGAGCCGGCTGCGTTAGTATTGTGACTCAGCCCAAGCGTGGGGTGGCAGAGACGGGGGGGGGGGGGGGGGGCGGCGGTGATTTCCCTTTCTCTTCCTCCTCCTGCGGCCTCCCCTCCTTCCACACCCCGGCCAGCTTCATCATCCAC